GACACTGGTTTTCCAGACCTGGCTCTACTACTAAACATTGAGAAGGTCTTAGGAAAGTCAATTGACCTTCTGGATTTCAGTTTCTTCATGTGCAAGATGTGGGATCAAATTAGGAGCTCACAATAGGTTTTTCAGTGTTTGCATTCGAAAGTTGCACAATCTCATATCCCTAACTATACTGTTAGTTCCTTGAAAACAGGAACTGTAACTCCAAAATACTGACCAAAGATTTTTTTAATATTAGAATTATCTGGAGCATTTGGCAAAATATTAAGCATCACCTTCAGAGCTTCTGCAACACAGTCTTCAAGTGTGGAGTCTGCATTCTTGCTTACACATGAGAATGATTGCATTTAGTATATGTTCTATATAAAGTACTATTCAATGAACTATTGTCGATTGCCAAAGCTGCTGGGACAGCAAAGCCAGAAAATTCGATCAGACAAACCACTAAAGGTGAGTAAAATGAGGCAGTAAATGTATTTCTTCAAAATAGAAAACATAATTAAAAGGTGTGAAAACAAGTGAAAGGAAGCAGCAGCTCTGTTAAGTATCAGAAGTATCAGCATATACTATGTATTTTAATGTTCAGTTGGTTCCTTTGTTTCTAGTAAATAAAATTACAGGGCCATTCCTAATATACAGAGCCAAGTTTTTAGCACTCCCATCCATCCAAAGCATAAATTGTACTGGACGTGGAACAAAGTTAGAAAAAAATGTTTCTAATTCAGGAAACAGGCAGTCATTATGCCCCTGAATTAAAACAAAGAATTTCACTCTAGTTTTTCAGGCAGAATTTCTTGGCCTCCTCTTTAGTATAACTGCTAAAAGACTTGGCTATCAGATTTTTAAGCACTAATAGGATGTAAACAAATCAATGTAAATGGGAAAGGTGACAACTAGCAGTAAAGGTACAGATAAAAATAAAAAGCAGGTATAGAATGAATATAGTGTTTATAAAAATCAAGAGTCACCAAAAGGGAGGCTTTTTTAGGATTATAAGAAAATATACATTTTTAGAACTAAGGTATAAAAAGCTGTAACACTTGAAAAGGCAAGATTTACTTATTTAGAACCTCACCCTTATTTAGAACATCTTTCATGAAATCAGATATATGAAGAGTTAGTAATACAGAGTTGTTTTGATTTTGCATATTGAGAGAACGAACAAAAAGACACATATATTCCAAAATTCTAAGGATACAGAAGTCTGGTTCTGTAGCCCTCAGCCCAAGAGATTACTGTAGAAATGCCAATAGAAGACAGAAAGGTTCAGAGTACATTAAGATAAACAACCTTGCAAAAATAATTAGGAACATGTCCTACTTCAAGACACATGCTTCCCCGAATATGAAACAACAGCCAAATGTAGAACAAAACAAAACAGGGTCCTACCAAGGGATAAAATATCTTGTGTAATACTGAAATATTTCAAATACAGGTCAGTTCTAGTAATGCTATTCTCTAGGTTTTATGGGATTTTACTCTAAAAAATGTTAGAACTCCATTAAAGATCTCTAAATAGGGTATGTAAGACTCAACATGAATTATAGAAGAAAACTTGGCTACAGAGTGAAGGCCGGTTTAGAAAGCAGCAAGACTTCAGTTAGAATGACTGATTCAAGGCTTTCACAGTAATCCAAGTGGTAAGCAGGAACGCTGGAGGAAAGTGGCTAATTCCAAGGGACGTGGAGAGTCCAAATGTCAGCTCTTGGCGGGTAAACTTGGAGAGCAAAGTTTAGAAAATTGGGAAAAGTTATTCCAATATTCCAGTTTAAGCAACTGGGTGCGTGGTGGTGCCATTGATTAACAGAGGGAAAATGAAAAATGGCTTCGATTCGTTTGTTTGTTTTGTTTGTTCTTTACGGTGAGGGTAGGAGATGGAGATGAGGAGACGGCTTTGGACGTGCTTAGTTTAAGGAGTCTGTGGAACAATCAGTGGACATGTCCAAATGGAGAGGAAGATGTGAGTCACTGGTGCTGATCCAAGGGAACAACACCACAGCAATGGATGAAATCACTCAGGGCTCTTACATTAAAAGAGCACGTAGGAGAAAACAAAGAAAAACACTGACACCTGAAGGAAGAGCAAGGGAAAAGAAGACTACAAAACGTGGTTATGCACGAAGGCCTTGGAGAGAGTTACATAAGCCTGTGAGAAATGTTGTACAAAGCACAACCACTAAAACAGGAAGAAAAGCAGGTATTTACTGTTGATAGCATGCCCAGACCTTTACTGGGCCAGTGAAACCATGCTCCAGCCACTTAAGTGAATTAGCATTTGTTGAAGGCAGCTGCGTCACCTGAGAACACCCCATAGGCTCTGCCTTCCTGCAGGAGACCCACAGGGAATGACTGGTAGGGATGAGGGCGCAGAAGCCTGAGCCCCTCGCCTCAGGGTAGGACTCCACTGCAGCGCCATTTATGCTTCGTGGTGCACCATGGAATCAAATTAAGGCTATACTTCAAGTGAAACAGCGCCTTTGCTTAACTTCTTCCCTTTTCCTATCTTGCTGCCCTTACTTCCTCACAGTTTCCCGAGAGAGCGCTCTCTAAGAATCCTTTTGTCACCAAGAATCAACAAATGAGATCAGATCAAATTAAAATGCTTCTGCACAGAAAAAGGGGAGAAAAATTGCCAACTATTCCTCAGGCAAAGAACTAACATCAAGAATATATATATATATATATATATATAGAGAGAGAGAGAGAGACAGAGAGACAGAGAGACAGAGAGACAGAGAGACAGAGAGACAGAGACAGAACTCAAAAAAATACAACCCCAAAATAAAAGACTCAATCAAAAAATAGGAAACAGACACTTCTCAGAAGAACTACCGATGGCCAATAAGTACATGAAAAAATGTTCAACATCTCTGGCCACCAGACAAATGCAAATTAGAAGCATATTGAGATACCATCTCACCCCAGAATGAATGACTGTCATCAAAATATCAAGTAATAGCAACTGCTGGCAAGGCTGTGGGGAAAATAGAAGCCTTTTGCACTGTTGGTGGGAGTGTAAACTAGTACAGCCACAATGGAAATCAGAGCAGAGATCCTCAAAAGGCTAAAACTCAAAATTCCATTTGATCCAGCTATGCCTCTTCTAGGTATCTTCTCCAAAGAGTTAAAGATATAATATTACAGGGATACATGCCTACCCACGTTTATAGCAGTACAATATAATAACTAGATCTGGGAAACAGCATATATACCCATCAACAGATGAATAGATAAACTCTGGTATTTACACACAGTGGAGTACTACTCTGCCATAAAGAAGGAGAAATCTGAGTCCTCTGTAGGAAAATGGATGCACCTTGAAACCATCATGTTAAGTGAAATAAAGTAGACATTCAAGCTTAAGTATCACATGATTTATTTTACATGAGAAGCCACGTATGTGTGTGTGTGTGTGTGTGTGTGTGTGTGTGTGTATGAGAGAGAAAGACAGCAGAATAGAAGATAGATAAATGGGAAGTAGGGAGAAGTCCAAATAGTCCTCTAAATTACCCATCCCATTGTTTCAAAAATACTTTAACCACTTACCAGTCCAATTATTTAAATACAGGATGAGCACAAATTGCATATTTTTTGTTAATGTTTGTAAGATAATACAACGGGAAATATAAAAACAGTAAGCACGAGTGTGTCTTGTGCAAACAAGAATCACTGGTTGAAATGACAGCTGCCTGAGCAAAGCTCCAGACAGTCAGTACTTAAACAAACTCACTGCCCAGTGACGCTCAGGGGGAACTGTTAAGTGGTTGATATAAATGATAATGTGGTTGAATTGTATTACTAGTTTTTCTTAGTTCACTGAAGACAGTTTTGTGCTTTTATCAGTTCTTTGTAAGACTTATACTCTGTCTATTCTCTATGACTTATACTCTGAGTAAAAATTGGCCATCTTTTTAAGATTATGATACACAGTGTATTAACTACTGTTGTTCTCTAAATATTTCACTGCAAAATTATATTTTTCATAGAAAGTGCTTTTTTATATTTTATTAATATCTACTTGGAATACATTGACATAAACAAAGGAATCCTTCCATCATGCCCTGCTTCTACAGAACTTAATTAAAACATCCAAAAGTCGTATCTCTGGGGTCAAAGAAATAATTACACTAGTAGTGCATGTGTATGTTTTATCTATGAGTCTGTCTGTTGCATTTCATGACTTTGAAAAGTGGAGGAAGGAAAAGTCAACAACACTGAATACTGGTGCATGGCACTAAAGGAATCGAATCATAAGGGCAGACAATTGTTCCCTTTAGCAGCAGAGCCCACACTGGGCATCTCACTTACAGACGTTGCCTCAGGGTCCCAGGCACGAAGTCAGATAGCTGCGGGTGGAGGAATGAGTGAGAGGCAAGCAGGGACAACAAAGGAGAGCGCTCATTCAAGAAGTACGGCTTTGAGGGGGAAGGAAAGACTTACGTATGGCAATACCTGGAGAGCAGGTTTTTAAGTTTCAGATAGGAGATTCCTAACCATGTTGAAATGCTAAATGACCAAAGCCAATTAAAAAGACAAAGTAAAGACCTAAAAGACAAGAGATAAAATTCATAGGAAAAGGCTGGTGAGAACTGCTTTTAAAATATCACTAGCTGGGCGTGGTGGCACACGCTTGTAATCCTGGCACTCAGGAGGCTGAGGCAGGAGGATCACTGTGAATTTGAGGCCAGCCTGGACTATAAGTGAGCTCAAGGCCAGCCTGACCTGCATAGTGAGACCCTGTCTCAAAAAGACAAGAACAACAACAGAAAAATGTATCACAGAAGGAATTCAAGCCTGGACTAGGAAGTAGCACGGCCTTTGACATCACTTTCTACCTGGAGAGTCTGAACTGATGTGGCTTTTCCCAAATACCGGATAATGTGTAAGTATCTCAGAGCAGGGTACGTGGGTTCATGTAGAGGAACTGCCTGATAAATATCTGACACAAGCATTTAACGCATTCACCTTCTGTTCCAACAGTTAAAGCTTCTTACCCGCCAATATCTTGCTTCACAAAGTCCCCAGGTTCTTGCCGTCTTGATTCCCCTTGGCCAGTGGCTCCAGGGAGAATAGCAATCAGGAAAAGAAGCATAAGTCTGGTCGTGTAGAAGTGACACATTTGTGTGATTATCATCTTCTTAGGCTTTAGGCAGCCACTTGGAGGTACCTGTGAGAGCCACAGTACAGGGGAAGGGTAGACGAAAGAGCAGAAGACAAAGGGAGGGAGGAGGAAGAGGTAAAAAAAATTACTAAACTCTCTTGGGATCATTCAACTTCTACAATAGCCACTTACTCATTGCTTACCTTGACAGCCCCTTTGCCCAGCTCATCAGTGCAACCAAAATTCATTCCAACATACACCTCTTCTGGATGCATGAGAATCCACCCAAAAGGGATGAGAAGACTCTAAAGAGCTCCCCGTCAGCAACCAAGAGTCTTAAGTTACAGTTCCACCTCTTTCCCTGCCTTCTAATATGGGTGAGTTGTAGAATTCCTGCCTCAGTTACCTCTTAAAATCTAAGAGCTTAAAATTGTCTCTCCTGTCTTCATGTTACCTGCCCTCGATCCTGTTTGATCTGTAGTATCACAAAGGCCTTTGTCTTGGTTAACTGGGCTGTGATGTGTAAAATTCTAGTCTATTAAAACCTAGAGTCTCTTCATAGCATTTTTTGGATTGATTTTTTTGTATTGATAGAATTAAGCAATTTTCCACAATATCAGAGTGTCTGGAATAGATACAGTTTCCTCTGAATCAGGATGAGAATGTGCTGAATGATGAGACACCATGGATCTGAAGTAACAATGTAATATTTCCTCAGTTAAGAGAAATTTGAGGGGAAAGCAAACTCCTTAAAGTAAGAATTACAACCTAAGGAAATCCAGGCCTAGAATCCTGGCACGGAAGTTCCTAAGGAGTCATCAAAATATGTCAATGTTAGTATCTGTGATTTGGAATTGCCTACATGCAAGGCTGGCTCGTTTGTGAACTCTGGCCTGGTAGAGGTTTACTCAAGACATGGAGCCAAGAAAATGGCCTATAAACTTGTATCTGCTTGCTCTTTTTTAAAATTAAGCTTATTGATACAATTTAGATATGTACAATGATCACATTCATCACAGGGAATTTGTACCTGTACATATTATACCTTGATACGTCTTTTTTCCCTCCCATACCCCTCCCCTCCCTTCCACCCCTCTTCCCCTCCTTATTTACAAAGCTTTGTTTCCAATTTATCCTTCTTTGCTATTGTTTCTTTTCCCTTCCTTCCTTTCTCCTTCCCCTTCCCTAGTTCCCCTTTCTTCTTCTTGAGCAGTGCCTTCCCACTTCACCATACCTGTACTGCTTCTTGAATTTGAAGCACGGAGCACATAAAGAGGACCTAACTCTGAGTCAATACTACTGTTTTCCAGTCATATCAATGGATTAATTTTCAGGGGGAATGTAGGGATACTGAACCATTTTTAAGGAAAGCATATCCAATAGATCAATATGTAAAACAGATACAGGCTGGATTACTATTCTGACTAGTGAAAAGATTGAGTACAAAACCCCCTTCTAAATCTATTCCCACCAAAATTAGTCACTGGTGTCTCTATTAGGCTATCTTCATGAATCTGGTTCCGGTATACAAAAAACTGTAATACTGGAGAAAATGGGCTTCCAACATGCCAACTGTCTGCGTAAGAGGTAGGCATAACTGTAATATTAGAGTTTACTATGCAGTGTAATCAATATTTGATAATTTTTGTTTCAGAAAACAGACATTTCTTAGGTTTAACCTAATATATGTGCCATGACATTCCTTATTCATGAGATTGTACAAGACTTGTTGGATGTTTTGCACAAATAAATAGGAACTGACAACTCATAAAAACATTATGTATAAGTATGAAAATATGGCATATAATCAGAAAACTCTGGAGTGTGAGCAACATTCAGAGTATAGCTAGTAATCCTTGTGAACACTTAAATACCTACAACTTCTCACAGATCCTAAGGTTGTATGATCATATGACAAGAATTGATGCTCAGATAATTAGGACACAGGAATTGGAATTGACTATTCTATGGGAACAGAGAGATGTGGTCCAGAATATAAAGTCCAAATTTTGAAAATAACCCATAGACTATAAGACGTAACCATGATGCATGCTCAGAAAACAGGAGTTCATGAGGAACGATCATGCGTAAAAGAAGACGACTATGTGGCATGAACGATACATGGTCAACTACGCTACTCCAGTACACAGTTATGGGCTCTGTTTCAATGATAGTAATGAGTAGCAAACCAACACACTGAGAATAGATGACAACGACACAAAAATAAGTGTTCATGATTTGGGAGAATAAAAATGATACACAGTATGATGTATAAGAAGACAATATCAAAACTGTATGTTCAAAAACCATTATTCAGTAAAAAATGGTCATCATATACAATAAAATATAGAAGAGGTTGGACATAATATGTACTTCTCTGGCAACCATAGCATGTGGTAAGCATATGTGTCAGAAAAATGTAGTACATGAGTCTAACAATTGGAAAACAAGAGGTTGCTGATACATACTCTTAACACAGAGTGTACGAATAAACACATGCCACCGCACTGGTGCACAACAATGTGAATATACTTAGTGCTACAGGATTATATGTTTAGAAATGTTTAAGATAGCACATTTTGCACATTTTATGTGGTTTTGTTGCCACAATTAGAAAATAATTTCTAAAAAGCATACTGCTGGAATAGGCAGCATTGAGAAGGTAGCAAATATTCACAGAATGAGTCCTATATCAGTTAATTATGCAGAGAGATGTGGCACTTTAACAGGTATTAGCACTAAATGAACACACATGTGTGCTACATGCTCAGATCACCATCAAACAAACACAGAGGACTTGGGGAAATGGTACACAAAATATCTGCTATGACAAACTTGATAACAGTCCACGTGACTGTGGTGTGTAAACTGAAACTATGACAGTGGACCATGATCAGGTATTCACATAGCTGGAGAGAACCATAGTATATGCTTAGACAACCATGATGCATATGAAGAGGTATTTGGTGTATCTCTCCTTAACCATGACAGTGCACAGAAATATGTGTATCCTGGTAACCATAATATGCTGTAGTTTTGGAACAGTTGGCTATGCTATGGGAGCAGACAGGAATAGGAATGGAAGTAGGAACAGATCACGGTACATGAGTAGGTAAGCATGGTCAAAATTTTCTCACTAGAGCAGAAATGTAACAAGTCGCTGAAAATGGCCATAATGAAGAGCTGATGCCCTTGGGATAATAATTATTATGATGAATAAATAACCTAAAATATATGAACACACAAATATCATACACACATCCATGGTGAATAAATTGAAAATTACAATAAAGGAATATCATCTAATAATTGGAATACTGAGCTCTGATACATGAGAAGACAGTTAAATTCATATTTGCTTTAAAATTGATGTGAAGAGGCCAAACCACATTGTAAAAGAACCAAGTGTATGTTTATATCAGTACAGAGCATGGAAAAACACCAAAGTCATATGAGCTTCCAGCTCACCACAGCATATGCTTGTGGTAAGAGCAAAGTGGCTAGGAAACTGGAGACAACCCTTGTGCAGGCTTAGATAGTCGCGGTGGAAAATACCATCTATAAAGCTGATGAATTGCAAGTTAGTGCTTCCATTCCAGACCGCCTCTGGAACTGGTATCTCTATCTGTTCTCCAGGGAAGTACTCATATCGGAAGCCTACGTGTGAACACATAGGTTAGACCTAGCATGTTCAAATCTGAGGTCCACATATTCACACCCCCTACATTCATAGATCCTGCAACCTTTCCCATGCTGAGTAGTAGTAGCTCCATCCTTCCACTGGTTCAAGTGAAGACTTTGATGTCACTCTTTTACTTTCAAAGCCCACGCTGAATCTATAAGCAAATCCCATTGATATTCCTTTCAAAAGAAAACATATTCACAATGAAAGCACAGCTCATCACCACCTCTGGTACAGCGTGGCCCATCATCTCAGCAGGATGATTGCAAAAGCAACCCAAGAGGTCTGGCTGCCTCTGCCTTTTCTCTCCCCTACAATCTGTTCTCCATATAGCAGCCAGAGGGAACTTTTCAATTGTTAAATCAGTCGAGCCTCTTTTCTGCTGAAAATCCTCTAATTTCTTCCCAATTCAGCAGCTTCCAATGATCCACAAGGCCCTAGAAGATCTAATGCTCAAATAGCTGAAGAACATTATCTTCAACTCCCCTCTGCTCTCACATACTCCACCTCAGCAACTGCGCCCTCCTGGCTGCTCACTGAGTACTTCAGGCATGCTCCTGTCCCAGGGTATCTGCTCTTTCTGTGGCCTCTACCTGGAATTTTCTCCATCCAATTTTCAAATAGTTTGTTCCCTTGTTTTCTTCAGATTTTTATTCAAATAGCACCTTAGCATTGTGATTTTCCCTAGTTCACCCTATCTAAAATGTCAACTTTTCTCAACATCCCCAATACATTTCTATGGAGTTGCTTGCTGTTTTTTTCCTTTGCACTTCTCATGTACATTTTATATATCTCTGTTATTCTCCATCTCCTGAATAAAATATAAATTCAAGAAGAATAAAGGGTTTTGCTTGTTTTATTCTGAGATATAGGGTTATCCCTTGGTGTCCATGAGGGATGGCTTCCAAGACCCCTGCAGATACCAAAATCCATGTATGTTCAAGTCTCTTACATAAAATGGGCTGTGTTTGTATGGAACCTATGCATACTCTCAGAGATACATATATATATATATACACACACACATATATATGCATGTATACATATACATATACTTCAGTTCACAAACACTTCTCTTCAAGAACAACTCATTTGGCAAACACAAATGTTCAGCAAAATTTCAGTTCTGTTTGCTAACTCTGCATCCGGTAACAAACACGACCATAGCCATCTTCTCTGCTCGAACATGAATGCTGCCATCTTCTCCAGAATCGTGGAACAAATTAAGTTCATGACTGTACTTTAAATGATCTCTGGCTTACTTATAATACCTAATACAAAGTAAATGCTATGCCAATAGTTGTATTGTTTTGAGAGTAATAGCCAGAGAAAATGTTCTCTATATATCCAGTAGAGATGTCAGTTTCAAAAATACTTTCAGTTG